TTAGTCATCTATTCCAGATTTTATCAACTTTGTATCAAAGCTGATTTTAACAAAAAGTTGAACAATTTGTATTTTATGTATTTCCTCAATCTGTTTTCAGTATCAGAACAGTTAATATAATGTAAGGAAAATTCACGTATAAACAAAATGTTTAAATGAAACCTTAGGTTCTATTTTTGTGGAGTACACAAAGCCTGAGGTCTTGTCTATGGACAGTAACACAGAAATCCTTATGGTGCTTGACTGCCTATGTAAGTAAAGGTTGTTGAGTTAGAGGCAGAAAAATACATTTAGGCAGCTGAGAAGGGGAAAGAGAATTCAGGGAGGCAGAAGGGCCAAATATCTGGAGTCTAGGAAACTTTGATCAGAAAACAAATGTCAGGCCTTCAGAGGTCATTAAAGTAGGGTCAGGAGCTATAGACAGCAAGGACGTTCCATGTTGCCACATGGCAGGTTAAGGGTAGATTGAGTGTTGTTATAGCAGTGTTCTGGATTACTTTTTCCCCTTCTGTTAATGTTGGGGCCTCTGGGTTTTAAAAGGTTGATGCCTTTTTAGGTATACCTTCTTTTAGTTAAAGGTCATAGGGTTTCATCAAATAGTTCAGAGTTGAGATCAATTAGTAGTGGTGTCTTCTTGACATCCTAGTTTATACCTATGTAGTCCAAGGATTTAATTGTTTTGAAGTCTTGAGAGGTTATTGTTAGTTCCTAGAGTTTCTCAAATGAAGTTCCTTACCTATTAAGTCATCTTTTGGCTCTGTTTTCTTAAAGAATTTGAGAAGTCAAATTTTCTGGAGAATGCATTTAACTACTGTTTTTAAGATATTTTCTTTGCGGATAGTAACTTTTTAAAGATCTGCTTCGGTATCCTTATTTTAACCCTTTCAGTTTGATGCTGTTTTGGGCGGTTCTATCCAGTCTTAAAACTGGATATTCAGTCATTTTTAAAATTACTATTTCAGATCTCTTTAAGAGTGTGCTTTTAATATTCACATTGTTTTGGTGTTACCACTTCTATTTCCCAAGTTTGAAAAATAAAAGAAAAAAATTAGGCTTTATTTACTTAAGTGGCCATCATTGCTGTTATGAATAAAAATATATCTTTTTAGGGATAACAGGCACCTACGTGAGAACTAGAAATCATGGAGTTTACTTCTGGTGAGCATTTAGTGCTCTTACTGGCATCTTGAAATTTCTTGGTTTACAGGCTTAAAATCAATTTAAAAAATATTTTGGTGCTTTTTTTGGTCCTATCTAAAGCAAGATTTGATTTTAAGGAAAATACCCTTAATAGAAGAAAAGCTGGAAGTTGGGGTTAATGCCAAAGTAGCACCTTGAGGAAGATTCTACCTTACCTTTTGCTCTTACTTCAAAATTAGAGACTGCCTTCCTCTTCATAATGGCAAAGAATAACCTCTCTTATCTCACTGGAAACTCATTACTCTACCAGCAGGATAAGAAATTATGTATTTACCTGGTTATTTTTAGGGATCTGTAATCTATAGGATAGTCAATGAGTTTAATGGGCAGGATCCTGATATAGTTTGGGTATTTGTCCCTGCCAAATCTCATGTTAAAATGTAATCCTCCTTGTTGGAGGTGGGGTCTTTTGGGAGGTGATAGGATCATGGGGGTGGATTTCTCATGAATAGTTTAGTACCATTCCCTTGGTGCTGTATTCGCAGTGATGAATGATTTCTCTCCACATCTGCTTGTTTAAAAGTGTGTAGCACCTTCTTCCTCTTGTCTTGCTCCTGCTTTTGCCATGTGACGTTCCTGCCTCTGCTTCACCCTCAGCCATGAGTAGAAGTTCCCTGAGGCCTTCCCAGTAGCCTAGCAGATGCTGGCACCATGCTTGTAAATCTTACAGAATTGTCAGCCAATTAAACCTCTTTTCTTTATAAATTACCCAGTCTCAGGTATTCCTTTATAGCAGTGCAAGAATGATCGAACACAAAGAGTTGATGGTTAGCACAGATAGGTTCTACATTAAATATTTGCTATATGGCGATATCTTGGGTTATTCTGTATTACCTATTTTAAATAAGTCTTCTATTTTCACAATCTCATTATCTGTTTAGTAATGGAGCAAACTATCAAGGTGAATAGTATTGCTCTTTCTAAAAGTCAACTCTGTTTTGAATCTGGGCCTTTCAGTGTTGCCACTGCTTCTCTTTGGAGGATTCTTTGCATTATAGAAGTGGAATAAGCAAAATCAAGGAGATCAAGGAAAGTCCTAGAGAGTTCAAGTTGTGAAAAAGAAAGTCCTGGAGAATAGTGAAAAGAGGGAGATAGTCTTATGTGTATATAATTCACCTTGTAATATAGTTTATTAGCAAATAATTTAAAGCAGGGCATCTCTTCTCTGTGTAATACTGATACAAGTGGTATTTTTTTTTTCTTACTTCTATGGTTATCTGAAGCTTTTAAAAACAAGGATGAAGAACCTGTCACAAACTAGCTTTTGACAATTATTTAATTTCATCTGATTTGTGTACTGTTGTTCTGGCCATAAATGATTAACTTTTATTTTATTTTTTTTAAGAACAGATCTTTCTTGAAAGCCTCTTACATGCTAACTGTACTTCCCTAAGCATTTTGGAGGTAAAAATAAAGAAAGCATTGTTTTTTTCATTTAAGGAGTCACAGTCTAGTGATGAAGGCAGATACACAAATTCTTTGCATGGGTTATTTTGGGAGTCCAAGAGGGAAAGGTATGCTTCCTACCTGACCTTAGTTGTAAACCTTTTGCAGTTTGAGGGCAGAGAGGTGCACAATGTGAGCAAATTCCTTTTAGAAAAATAGCATGGTGGTAGTTTAATGGCAAGTAGTTCTGTATATTGTTTGCTTTGTTGATTTCAGTGTGATTTTAGGAAGAATTAAAGGAGTTGAAAATATGTGAGCATTAGTTAATTAAAATCACATTAGTCCTGTTTCTTAAAACTTCGTATTGTTTTTAGTGCAACTATGTTGGATATATCTGCTTTTCTTCTGAGCAAGTAATTTTTTCCTAAATGAATCCATCTTGATTTGTGGGGACCATTTTGTGTATGAATATTCATTCTTACAGTATCTTTTGTACTTACTTTTTTCAATATTCATTTTGCATCGGACTTGTATATCGCTTCTTATATTTGACTTTGAAATGGCATACGTCAGTAGAATCTTGCTTTTTTTTTAGTAATTGAATGGTATTTAGTGTATATATATTCGAAGCTTGATAGTCGCTGTTTGCTTATCCTTTTATTCAAATGAAGCTTTTATTTCTGTTATCACTTGTAAATTTGCTGAAAGACAGCAGGGTGAAAGCATACTATTGTGAGAAGTTTTAATCTGAAAAATATTTGGTGCTTTTATTCTTATGAGCTAGTATTATTTCCAGACTGATGGGCAGAAATGCAAAAATAAAAAAGAATTTTAGATAAAAATATTCCAAACCATTGCTTTAAAATAAAGAGGAACTTTCTCCAGGTTTTTTTTTTTTTTTCAATTTAACTTAAGCAGTAATTCTAGGAGGCACTTAAGCTAAACATGAAATAATGACTCTGTGACATTATGATGACGTTACTTTCAGAAGTATTTTTTTCCAGTTTTAACTACAGCTCTAACTTTGATGATACTGTTCAAACTGACATTTTAAAGAACAAAGGTAATTTGCTGAATTTCTTTTAAAATTCACCTACTTAAATGAGAAATAGGCATCAAGATAACGTTTTAGACATTTGTTTTCATATGACCAAGTGGTAAGACCAAAATTCCATTAACTCAACTATGTGTCTTTGACCCTCTGAGAGGGCTTAGTCCTCATGAAAATGTATTTGTGTTACTCTTGAAATTTACTTTTTTTTTCTTAAAGACCATTTGGATGAACATCTAGTATTACTCACAGTTCTCATCTTACTAACACTTGTATTAATGCACCATAAATATTATTATGGAGTTAGTACAGTGAAAGAAGCAGTGTAATGGAATAATGATTATTAGAATGAAAGTATAAGAGTTGAAAATCCTTTATCAACCATCAACAAACTGTGTGACCTTAGAATGGCAAGTGAATTGTTTAGTCTTTGTACCTCAATGTCCTCAGATTATCAGGATTTTATTTAGTAAGATTCAAGGAATCTTTTTTTCAAAAAAAATATGGTTTTATTTAAAATATCAAAAATTCTATGTAGAAACTAATAATACTTTAAAATATTTTGTGTCTGCAAAGATACATATTTGAGTTTAGATAGTTTAAAACTAAGAGCTGCTTTTGCAAGAAATAATCTTTCATCAGTTTAATATTCCTTCCTTTATTGAATTCAAAGCTTATGCCTGCCTACTTTACAGCAGAACAGCTGGACAAAAAAATGAAAGATTCAGTCAGTCAACTGAATCTTTTTGTTTTGTTTTATTTGCATGATGACAAGTAATTGTTTATCAGTTATTTTTTTTGAATTTGCTATTCAATTACTATAGCCAAAACCAAGGTTTTTATAAAACATGTCAGCCACTTAAAAGTTTGGAAACTAGTTTTCTTTTTGTGACAGAGGATCAAGGAAAATAATGATGTGTATCAAAATATGCTATGTGGGCAGTATCTGTCCTATAGTTACATTTGTTAACTGGGGAAGGTGATCCTTATTATTTTATGTACTTGATAAATCTGTTTAATCATGCTTGATTCTTTACCGTAAACTTATTAGTGTCTTTGGTTAATACAGTCCTAAAATACTCCTTCTAATAAACTAGTTTTAATAGCTACTGCTGTATTAATCTAATGTCTAATCTTGTCATTTAATTCATATTTTCAAAAATGGTTTTAAAAATTTTCCTTTGTATCAGATGCCATTAGAAATTGTTTATATATGTTTCATTCTTAAATGTTAGCAGCAGTTCATAATTTTGCCACACGATGTCCCTAAATACCTATTTTTTAATGTGATTTTAAAAGAAATTTTAATGTTACATTGAGTTTTACCTCCTCTTTGTCTTACCTTTCTTTCTTTTGTTTTTAGAATCAGAAAAATCTCTGTGAAAGGCTTCATTTAGTCTTCTTCAGCCTGTCATGCCCTTATCTCTGCTTCCTATTTAGTAGACAATAATTGTTTATGCTATAGCAGTGTAATTAAGTGAATGGACTAGTGAATAAGGAGATAGATGATGTAGAATGATGGTTTCACTGTGATGAATTTATTTTCTGCTTTTAACCACTTTAAAATTCAGTGTTGCTTCCTGGCCTTTTAGGTAAAATCAAATATAGTATCTGCCCTTACTAGTTAATATCTGATACTTGCTAAATCTCAGAGAAGTTAATCCTGTTTCCAAGACCTGGGAGTATATTACCTCAGAGAATGGTTCACCTTCCTGTGAAGCTTCAAAATGGAAGCACAAAAATTAAAAATCTTAGTATCTCCAAATAATTAGGACCTTTAAATCACCAGAATATTAATAACCCCTTGGATTTTCATGCTCCTTAGATAGTATTTGGTCAGAGATGTATTAATGGCATGTGGGCCCTTATTTGACTCATACATAGCAAGTAACATTTGAGCTATAAGAGTGGTCTGCATATGAAATTCTACATACACAAGAATTCATATTTTAAGAAAATAATTTGGGTAACTAAATACATTTAGTTTGCTTCTGCATTGCTTTTATTCAGTAAATATAGTCTTTATACCACACTGATCGTAGTATCAGCTCTGCTATCATTGTGTTTATAACTTCAGGTTAAAAAGTATGTAGGAGGACTGCAGTCGTTAGAAAACATCAGTCTCTTACAGTTGTATTGCCTGATAATTTGGTGTGTGTACTTTGTTATTATTCTTGTATGTTTAAACAGTATACCTTGATTCCTGTACACAAATAAATTCAAGAGACTGGCACTTAAATAAAAATGTAAACCATGATATAAAACTGCAGCTTCTTTTTATAGAGTAGATAAATCTGTGTTGACCTATGCTTTACTTTTTCTTTTGTGCATTTTGATTGTCCTTCCATTTTTATTAAAGTTACTTGTCTTCTTTGTATTTTTCTTTAATACTGTTCTGTATGTGGATTTTTGTAAGACTGAAGCCCATATATAGTTAATTTTTTTCTTGTTAACTTTGTTCCAACGATACATAGTTCCAGTCTGCTTGTTTACTGGATGGCCAGATTATGCAGTAAATGAATATTCACAAAATTTGCAGCATATGTGCCATATATGTGGATGGCTTTTTTTTTCCCTGTTTCTGCCCAGCTAGTTTTTGGTTCAAGGGTGACCAAATCTGTAGTTAGGAATTTACAAAAGTATTTGATAATTTGAGGCACAGAATTCATAAGGTTCCAGGTGAGCCATTATCTTTGGATAACAGATTAAGATTGTATTCTGCACTATAAATAATTTGAGCAGAGAAATGCTTGTTAATTTAAAGGTGTTTCACCTGTGTGCATATGTGTACATGTGTTTCCTGGAGAGATTAAGAATCACTTAAGGGATTCCTTGGTATGAACTTAGTTGTGTGTATCAAGTATAAAATAGTGATTATACCAGAACATTGAAAAATTACTTGTTTTCACTTAAGAATTAAAGGGAGAGAGGTGATACTAAGCAAAATTATGATTGCTTTCACTGTGCAGAGCACTCACTTAGTTTCTGAGAGGGATTTACAAATGAGATAGTCATGATTTTCTTAATATTTTCCCTATTTTGATAGACCTAAGATTTTTAAGTTATTGTATTGAAATACATGTCTGACTCTTCTGTTTCTCACTAATATACTAGTGTTCTAAAAAAAACCTTTTATTGATTTTTTTAAATCTTTACATTTTATTTTCTTATTTATATGTTTGTTATTGTGATTTATGCTCCAAGCAGGGAGTTGCTACATTAGCTAATATGGCTTGGGAGAAGGATGGACAGGGTTTTCATCAATCCTCTGAGGCCTTGGAAAGCAGCTTGGTAATGTCAGATGCTCTCATTTGAATTGATATATTGGAGAATTATGTCATTGCCTTTAGATTTTGTCAGAATTTTTCTGTAATGATTCCTAATATTAGTTTTTTTATTCAAAAATACTATATAATGAGTTTTCTATGACAAAAACTTCTATAATCAACTCCCAAATATTTAGATATGAGGCATGAATAAATTGAAACTAAATAATCTGAATTAGCTTATTTAATTATTTATGCTAGAATGCTCTTTAAACATATGGTACATTGATTCCAGAAATTTACACAAATTCAAAGGCCCTATTACAAAACCCAGCTTAGGAGAAGATGAAAAGATATTCAATTTCTCCACCCAATTTCTTATCCTGGAGAGATGACATTGTCTCATATTGATGCAGTGCACTTACCTAGGTAGTATATTAGTCTGTCCTCTGTCTTTTCTCCATCATTTTTACTGGTAAGAATAGATTATTAACTTTCATTCCTGTCTCATTCCACAAAAGGTCTGGGGTGGCTCCTTAAGAATATATAAAATGTAAAAGGATTCAGATTTTAAATTGAAGAAATAGAGACAGTGGGAAATTATGGTTAGAAAAACAAAGCAAGCAAAACCAAACAATAGACTGTTTAGGGATAGACAATTATGAGGTAAAACCATAAAAAAAGGCCAGGGAATTATTAACACTTGCAAGTTACGATCTGCATGATTACTTGAAGGGAGAGATTGGAAAGGATGCAAAAGGACTTCTGAGATATTGACAATTGCCTATTTCTAAACCTGAGTGGTGAGTACATGTTTTTATTTTTATAAGGATGTAAGGCATACACATCTGTATTGTATATATTTTCTCTGTTGTATATTTCATTATTAAATAAAATGGAAAAGAAAGCAAGCAAGCCAAGAGTGAGAACTTGTATTATTTTGTCAAAACTGGAATAGATTCGTTCTACTCTAGAGAGTCTCAATATAACTCAAGGTAAAATATGAAAGTTACATATTATCAAGACTAAATAATTTTATTCTACTCAGACTATATCTGGAATGTGTTGTTTGCTTATGGGCACCACAATTTAATTCAACCTTGACAACTAGGGAGAGCTTGGAAACTCCATAATATGTAATAGGACAGTGAACAGCTGAAATACTTGAAACTGTTTAGTCTGTAAATACTAATACTTACAGGGGAAATGAGATTGCTGTTTTCAAATGTTTGAAGTACTTGCACTGGAAAAAAGACTTTAGTCTTTATCTTTGGAGCTCTAGGAAGTGGAATTAAGTCTAAAAAAGCAAAGTTTTAAGCAGGTAGATAATGGCTTAATATAAGTCGGAACTATAAGCCTTTCAGCTAGTTAATATTCTGTATTCCTCTCAGTACAAAACAACACAATTTTTTTAACATTTATTTTGAATTTGTTTATTAAATAAATATATGGGGGAAGGAGAGAGTCTTTACTAGACTATTGTAACTCAGAATTATCTTCCCTATTACAACTTGGAATATAATAACCTTGCCATTTTCAAGCCCTCTGAAAAACTTACCTTTTGCAAACTGTGATTTAAGAAAGTTTGATTTGGGAATTTTTACCCTTATAAGAATATCCTGTTTCCTTATTTCTTTGGACTTTCCATTCTCACATTTAGTTTATTAACTGGTAGATGGCTGATTGTCACATCTTCTTAAAATGTGTTCCTTCAGCAAATATTTACCTAATACTGTTTTGTGTAGAGTTACGAGGATTACTGTAGTGAATTAGACACAGTTGCTGCTTTCATAGACCTTAGATTCTATTGAGATCAATATTCAGTTAGAGTTCTTATAAATACTAAGAAGTAGTACAGGGGATTAGGAGGACATACGATTGGATGACCTGACCTAATCTAGGATGAGGGTCAGGAAATGGTACAATGCACTTTAGAAAGAATTTCAGGAAAAGGAAATTATTGGTGTACCGTATCGGCAACATGGGACAAAAGAGTGTGGCATTTGGAGCCAGATTTCCTGGGTTCACATTCCAGCTTCATTATTTACTTGGAAAAGTTACTTAATTTCTCTGTCCTTCATTTGTAAAATAGGAATGATAATATTTATATCATAGGGTAATTACATGTATTAAATGAGTTAAAATTGTAAAGGGCCCAGAACATTGTCTTTTATGTATTAAATACCATGTAAATAGTGAAGAATAATTATTTAGAAAACAAATCCAAGATACCAGTTTCTAATCATATTGTAATATAAATATTAGAAATAATAAAAGTTAAGATTCTTTGAGCACTTACTATGTGTTAGATTTTGTGTTCAATGCCTTTACATAATATATTATTCTCACAGTTCTTTGTGGTAGATAGGATTTTTTTTTTTTTTTTTGAAACAAAGTGTCACTCTCACCCAGGCTAGAGTGCAACAGTGGCAGGATCTTGGCTCACTGCAGCCTCTGTCTCCCAGGTTCAAGCAGTTCTCCTGCCTCAGTCTCCTGAATAGCTGGGATTACAGGCACGTGCCACAATGCATAGCTGATTTTTGTATTTTTAGTAGAGACGGGGTTTCAGTGTATTGGCCAGGCTGGTCGTGAACACCTGACCTGTCATCTGCCTGCCCTGGCCTCCCAAAGTGCTAGGATTACAGGTGTGAGCCACTGTGCCTGGCCTGTGGTAGATAGGATTTTAATGTTGGCACTTCTTTACCTTTTCTTTTTGTTTTTAAAGACTTCATTCAGTATGTTAAATAATTTGCTCAAGATCCTGGTTAGCTAATAGGCTGTACTCTTAACTGCTATTCTTTGTAAATACACACGATTTCAATGAAAAACTGGCTTTTGTCTAGTATTTGTTAACAGACAGTGGTCTTGTGGAATATTATTGGCAAATTATGTTTTTATAAGTTAAAACACAATGAGATGGGCTTTCAATCCTGCCTTACCTTTTTTCCTAGATACTGTTTTGGCTTTAGGAGACCTACGGGAAGCCCATGTACCAGACCCCTTTCCATTGTAGTATGGACATGAGACATCCGGTTGAATTCTAAATGAATCATTCTGTGTTAGAAAAATTTTGTAAACATATCTTGTTTACAAGGTAGCTTCATGATTTTTAAATTTACCATAGGATAAGCATTGCCAACCAAGACATGTGTTCAAGATGGCAGATGATATATGTCTTTTCCCCATCCAGATTCTTGACAGAATGTTGAACAGGCAAAGTTTGTTTATATCTATTTCCTGGTCCCCTGTTAGTTGGTACTCATTTTTACTCTGATTATATTCAAAACATCTGAATACATAGTTTAGCCATATAATTTGCTAGTCCAAATATATTTATGCTTTTTCATTGTTACTTCCTTGCTCAGGAACCTATCATGGCTTGCTGTTTTAGTATAATCAGATACTCTGAACTTCACATTCTCTTGTTCAGAATGCCTTACTCTTTGGCCCCATTTAATCTAACCATAGCTGTACACTTCTGCTGTGATATCTTAATTTGCCATGCTTATTAGGTCTAGGTCCTTCCTATTGCTGTGTACTGTGCTTAGAATATTCTGCTTATACTCATCTACTTCTATATTAAGCTTTTATTGGACATAGTAACCCAAAATGACTTTTTCTTTATAATATTATTGAATTTTCATATTTTTATTTACTCTTACAAAATTTTTTATCCATCCATGCATATAAACCCAAGAGACTTTGTATATGTATGGTTTGTTGTTATTTCCTGCATTATATGGGGGAGTAATATCTCCTTTAGTACTCAGCATATGGTGCTTTTCAAATAATTTAAAGCAATCTACATATTTTCCTTGTATCTACAAGAGCTTTGTGCCAAAAGAAGAAAAGATTGGGGAAGAAATACACGAGATAGGAAGTTGACAGGTATAAAGACAGGCACAGTTAAATTATGAATGGTGGTTAATGTGCTGAGATACCTGTATATATGTCACCAAAGTAAAAGTTACCAGTATATAATTTTTAACATGCTCATGTTGGGGGTTTCAAAATAATAGAAACCCTTGAAATACAGACTGGGGCTTATGGATGATTTTATATTGGATGTGTTTATGTTATTTATATGTAATATATGTATACAAATTTGTATAGTGGAATAGGAGATTAAAGTTGTAATTGTTTTTAAACCCTCTGAGAAAACCTGTGTCTTTATATCAACCAAATACAGTATAGAATATAATGATGTATGTTATGTGCAATTATGAAATTTCTTTTTTTTAATTTTTATTTTTTACTTTCCTCCACCTTGTAAAAAATACTTTATATTAGATACTGTCTCATCTTCCTGACATATTAGGGGTTCCTTTGAGGCTAATCATTTTTTTTTTTAAAGAGTTTCACTGTGGTGCCCAGGCTAGTGTTTACTGATGTGATCATAGCTCATTGTAACCTTGAACTTCTGGGCTCAACACATCCTTCTGCCTCAGCATCCCCTTGTAGCTGAGATTACAAGCCTGGCTAATTTTTTTTTTCCTGTGTGTCTTGACACCCTGGTTTTTTTTTTTTTTTTTTTTTTTTAATGGATTGGAGGTTTCAGTGGGATGAGAGAATCACAAGGAATCAGGTGTTCAGAGGAATGTATTGAGTAGAGGTGAGGAACTAGGATGTTGAAACGTAAAAAAAAGGAGAGAAGGAGAGGAAGAAAGAGGAAGAAAAAGAGGGATAGAGAACAGGAATATTGCTTCATTCTAAAAATGGGTATTAATAATGGCCGATCAATATTTTGTGTATTTAAAATGGAGAACTCTATAAAATGAGTTTACTTGTTCCAGATCTGAGTTGAAGTCCTGGATATCCTTATTAATTTTCTGTCTCATTGAGTCTAAATCTCGTTATGGGTCTTATGTATCTGGGTATTAAGATCTCTTATTGTTGCATTGATCCTTTTACCACTGTTCTTTGTTGCTTTGAAATCTATTTTATCAAATGTGAGAATTGCAACTCCTGCTTTTTGTTTATTTATTTATTTTTTCTCTCCATTTGGTTGGTAAATTTTTCTCCAACCCTTTGAGTCTTTGTGTATCTTTGTGTATACCGTTAGGTTTTGGCTGTATCTTTTGATTGGGGGATTTAGTCGATTTAAATTTAGGGTTACTGCCATTTGATGTTAACTGGCTATTTTATCCATTCGTTGATGTAAATTCTTCTTTATGTTGATGCTCTTTACTTTTTGGTATATTTTTAGAAAGGCTCATACTGGTTGTTCCTTCTTATGTATAATGCTTCTTTCAGAAGTTCTTGTAAAGCAGGCCTGGTGGTAATAAAATCTCTGAGTACTTGCTTGTTCATAAAAGATTTTATTTTTCCTTCAATTGTGAAGCTTAGTTTGGCAGGATATGAGATTCTAGGCTGAAAGTTCTGTTCTTTAAGTATGTTGAATATTGGCCCCCACTCTCTTCTGGCTTGTAGGGTTTCTGCTGAGAGATCTGCTGTAAGTCTAATGGGCTTCCCTTTATGGGTAACCTGGCCTTTCTCTCTGGCTGCCCTTAGTATTTTCTCCTTCGTTTCGATCCTGGTGAATCTAACAGTTATGTGCCTTGGGATTGCTCTTCTTGAGGAATATCTTTGTGGTGTTCTCTGTATTACCTGGGGTTGAATAGTGTCCTGCTTTGCTAGATTGGGAAAATTTTCCTGGATAATATCCTGAAAAGTATTTTTCAGCTTGGATTCATTCTTTCCATCACATTCAGGTACACCAATCAAACGTAGATTGGGTCTTTTCACATAGTCCCATATTTCTTGGAGACTTTGCTCATTCCTTTTCATCCTTTTTTCTCTATTCTTGTCTTGTCGAAATTTCTTTTAAATTCATTACATAATCCACAGTTATATCTAGCATAATCTGTAACATTTGATCAAGGCTTCACAAATAGGAAACATCAATCACTTATTGTATGTTATTTCTAATCTTAGTTTATTACTAGCATTATGCTTTGTTATTCTTCTATGCAGGTGTAAACTGAGAAGATGGTGGTGTTCCTTTCAGTTTAGTTAAGTAAAGGCAGGAAAAAAACCTTGATAATTCGGGATGCTAATATAGCAGGCTTATTTGGAATACACTGGAATCCTGTGCACTGTTATTTTCTGTATTCAAAAGAAGAAACAGTATGACATATCTAAGAGCCTGAAAAATAATTTTTATCTTTCATACCATTTACTTTAAAATTTACATGGAATTTTCTCTCAAACTAAATACTAGTAAAATCTTCTTCAAAGATACAGAATATGCTTTTGTAATTAGTTTTCAGGGATGTTTAAAACTTCATCACATCTTTATAGAACAAATCATCCATCTACAATGTTATGTGTTCTTGAAAGTAATGAAAATTAGGAACTTAGTGAGATTTTTTACTTACTTTATCCTTATTTTGGCCCTTATTCCTACATAACTTCTAGAAAACTAAATATAAAATATTTAATGATTCCCATTTTACAGAGCGTTGGTAAAGATCCTATCTCTGGTCTTTGAAGCTTAATTTATCCTGTTCTTATTCTCTGCTTTTGACATGCCTTTTCTTTCTCCTAGTCTCTTTCTTATTGTCTTGCTTACTAAATAATCCCTTTTGAAATAATTTATCAGAATATATTTATTAGCAGTTGTTGCTTTTTAAAAAGGAGTGATACAGATAAGATGGCAAATTAAATTGGGTGAAAGCACCAGTAAGTAGTAACCTTGTATTTGACACTAAATTGAGACTCTGCCAATAGTTTTTGCTTTTGTTGTGAGAATTATCACCATCTCTTCTATATGCTAACAGAAATTTAATTGTTATATATTGGTAATTTAAATCCCAGCATTTTTCCTGTTAAATTTGATTTCATTCAAACCAAAGATTAACAAGGTTAATTCTAAAACTCCAGGTGGTAGATAGTGAAGGCGTTATGAAAAGAATTGTTTCATATTTAGTAGTATTTCTATTAGGCATCTGTACTAAAAATCATCATTATAGTTTTTAAATTAGTCTGAATCATTTTCATATGCTCTATTTTGGTAATAGGTATTTATAAAGTGATTATATATTTTATCATAATTATACCTTATCAACTTCTTCTTTATGTATATCACTGACAGGTTTTTAATCCCTCCCCGCCCCAAACACAGGTTTTTTAAACTCCTTAAGCTATAACATTGCATACAAACAGAAAAGTGCATAAATAATGAGTATGAATTCAGTCAATTGCCATGAGGGACTATGTCTGTAATACCACTGAGGTAAAGACATAAAATAACAATACTCCAAAAGACTGTGTCATATTTTCTCCAGACATTACTTTCCTTCCTGCCAAAGGAAGCACTCGTCTGACTGACTTTATGTATTTTTGAAACTTACATAACATTTTATGTCATCTTGTCTGGCTTTTACATTATGTTTGTGGGATTGATTTATACTGTTTCCTGTTCTTGTAGCAGTACTGTTCATTTACTCTCATTGATGATGCAAGTGTTTCATGGTAATGTTAATAACTTGCTGTCTTTGCTGGTGAAAATACAAAAAAGTATCAGTTTGAGGCTGTTTAAATAATGATGCTCTCTTGGACATTAGTGTTTTTGGTGCTCATTTGCACACATTCCTGTTGAATATAGGAGTGAAAGTGGTCAGTCATATTTTTTAAACTTTAGTAAATAGGGTCAAATAGTTTTCCAAAGTGAATATACTGATTTACACTTTTCTAGCAGTAAATGAAAGTTCCAGTTGTTCCACATTTCTGCCAACACTTAGGTATCAGTCTTTTAAATTTTGTATATTCTGATTGGTATATATTTCTTATTGTAATTGTAATTTTTATATGATGGTAACTTATGATATTGATCATACTAGGATTATAGGGCATTACAGCGTAATGTATTGGTGAAGTATCTTTCTTGTTCCAAGTCTTGCTTCTTCTATTGCTTTCTGGTTTTTTTTTAATTTTATTACTTGATATACAAGTCCTTTACTGACTATATTTTTTAAATACCTGTTCTATGACTTACCTGTTTATTCAGTTATTTTTGAAAAATAGAACTTCTTAATTTTAATACTCAATCAATTTTAATGTTAGTGCCATTTGCATCCTGATTAGAAAACCTTTATTCACCTCAGGGTCATGAAATATTTTCTATATTGTCTTTTAGAAAATTTTTATCATCTAAATTTAGTGACAATACAAAGTATCAGAGTTCCCCCCCATATTAATATTCACATAACACCATTTTTTGAATTCTGTTTTCCCATGATTCTCTAGTGCTACCTTAACATAAATCATAAATCATACATAAATCATTCATAAACATATATGTGCTCCCTTCCAGTATGCACATATATGTATGACTTATTCTGGATATTAACATTCTATTTCATTGATCTGTTTGTTTTTGTACCAATACCGTACTGTTTTAATTCTGAAACTTTATGATGTTTGGTATAGAATATTTTCTTACTTATTTTTTCTTCTTTACAATTATCTTGACTTTTCTCAGCCCTTGAGCTTCTATATGAATTTTAGAATCTGCTTGTAACTTTATACCTCAAACTAGAATCCAACGAGATTTTGATCAGAATTGAATTGAATCTGTAGATCAATTTGGGAACTAAGAGCAGTTTTATAGTATTGGATCTTCTAAACCATGAACATGATACATCTTTTCATTTACCTAGGCTTTTAAAAAATATACTCATTCAGTAATTTATCTACGTCTTTCTTCAGGTATATACCCAGTGTTTATCATGACTCAATTTGGTCATGATAAATTGTACTTTTTATATATTACTAAAATATATTGGTATTTTCTTTAGGATTTTTACATCTGTGTTCATTAATGAGATTGACCCATAGTTTTCCTCATAAAAATAGTTGGGAAATGTTTTCAATTTCACTGTTCTTTGGAAGAATTTGTATAAGATTGGTGTTTTATCTTTTTGAATATGTGGAGTATTATTTAAGAAGCCATCTTAGTTTAGAGTTCTTAGCCCCTTTAAGGCTACAAATATCTCTCCTAAGTATGGTTAGAGCTGCATCCCATACATTTTGTTTTAGTTTTATTTTATTTTTTGAGATAGTCTCACTCTGTCACCCAGACTGGAGTGCAGTGGCATAATCTCGGCTTACTGCAACCTCTGCCTTCTGGGTTAAAGCAATTCTGTCTCTCCCTCATGAGTAGCTGGGATTACAGATGCATACCACCACACTTGGCTAATGTTTGTATTTTTAGCAGAGACAGGGTTTCATCATGTTGGCCAGGCTGATCTTGAACTTCTGACCTCGAGTGATACATTCACCTTGGCCTCCCAAAGTGCTGGGATTACAGGTGTGAGCCACAGAGCCTTTTTGATATAATTTATTTTTATTATTTGTTTAAAAATATTTTGTTTTATGTTTTGATTTCTTCTTGAAACTTTGGTATTAATTTCTAAATACACATTTAATGTCCTCACCAGTATGCTTGGGATTAAGTGTCTCATCTTGCCATTTGCATTCTATTTCTCTGCTTGTTCTATATGACTTTTCTTATTTCTTTTTTACATAGTGTTTATTTTGAATTTATTTTTTTAGCTGTATTAGCTATACAGTCTTTAATCTCTTAATCATTACTCTATAGATGCCATTATGCATTCCTAACCTACTGAAGTGTCTAATATTATTTTATCACATCCTAGACAATGCAGGGAACTTAGTACACTTTGATTTCTTTTACAATTTATGTAGTGTCATTGGTACTTATATGTATTTTAAACCTTATACATTTAAAACCCTACATTCCTAATATAATAAAAGTACCTAGTTATAATTGTTCTTTGACTTAATATACATTGATATTGATTTATACTTTATTATTTCCTTTGCCCTCTATTTCTTCCATCTCTGACTTTCCACTTGAATTGTTTATTCTACCTAAATAATATTCATTAATATTTTCTTTTGTGTGGATATGCTTTTGACAGATTGTCTCAATTTTTGTTTATCTGAATGTATTTTTAGTTCACCTGCCATTTGAAAGGGTATTTTTATTAGACCAGCAATTATTTTACTTCAGCCCTTTGCTGTTATGATTCCATTGTCCTTTAGCTTCTATTGTTTGTCTTGGGAAATATGTTGTTGATCAACTTCTTACTCCTTTGAACATCAATTGTGCAATCATTCCCAGTACTCAGCTACTGTTAGTATACATTTTTTATCTGTGATTTTCAGAAGTTTTACTATTATGGACCTGACTTCTGTGTAGTTGTCTTAGTTTTCATCTTGCTTGGTACTTTTACCACTTCTGAAGTTAATGTTTTTCATTTGTATTAGGAAGTTCCAAGTTACTCTGTTTTCAAATATTGCTTTTGTTCATTTTCTTTCTTCTTTCTTTATGGTAACCAGCTACACATGTTAAACCTTTTTACTGTAACATGTATATTTATTCTGTTTCTTCTGTATTATTCATCCTTTTGTATGTTTAGTCTGTATATTTTCTTACCTGTCTTTTGGTTTGTGAATTTTTTCATCTGTAAAAAATTTAAAAGGTTTTATCATAAGAACCATTCATTTAGACTCGTTTCTCAGTTCTAGAATTCCATTTGAGTCTCTTTTATGATTTCTGTTTTCTTCCAAAAATTTTAGTCTTTTATTTTCTTGAGTGTATTAGGCATTGTTATTTCAATACTAAGTTCTGAAATTTAATTATCTAAATACCCTGTAGATCTGTTAACTGTTGTCTGCTGTTTCTATTGGTTTTAGGTGGTACTGATTTACCTTCTTGTATGACTGCTTATTTTTTACTCAATACCAGGTATTCTGTATGAAAAATTATAGAGACAGTTTGAAGGCTAGCACGATGTATTTATTCATAGAAGATTTATTTTGGCTTCAGAAAGGTGGCCAAAGGACTGACAATCTCAGATTGCTTTAATCTAGGCAGGAATTGAGAAGATTCAAAGTTAAATTTAGTCTCTGTTAAAGTTTGTCTGTTTCTGGTTCATTTTTACTTAGTTCTAGTCATGCCTTTTTAGTAGCTCCCTAATTGTAGTTTTAGCCCTCCTAGCTTCAGATTTGGTCTCTGGGCATTTTCCCTTATGTCCCGAAAGGGACCTTTTGGCAATAGGTCAACCCTTCTGGGAGGAATTTACCTCCCAAAGAGGTACACATAACTTTCGTTTTCTTCTTGTCTGAGATCACAGCCCCATAATTTGTCACTGTCTTCATTGTTCTCAGTGATTTCCAACAAACGTTTCTGTTATTAATAATTTCTTACATTTTCTAGTACTCATCAAGAAGGTTTATTAATGTCACCTAGTTCATCATGTAAGCAGAAGACTTGACTGTCTTTATACTGAGTTACAATCTTTAGATGTTTATTTTAAAATCTAGTTTTCTATAGATTATCAGAAATTTGCCATTGCTTATACTTTTATACACAATTTCTTAGCATAGATTTGGATATACATTCATAACAGAAAGCTTTAAGGCATATGAAGAGATAACCACTAAAATAGATGGATGCTCACAATTGTACTATATATGACTAAATTAGATTTCAAGTAGATAAAATTTAGCTGTGAGGAAGAAAGATTTAAATTTAGTATTATTTTGGTCATCTATTTTTTTTTCCTTTTTTTAATTTATTTTTTTTAATTGCATTTTAGGTTTTGGGGTACATGTGAATAACATGGAAGATTATTGCATAGGTACACACATGGCAATGTGATTTGCTGCCTTCCTCTCCTTCACCTATATCTGGCATTTCTCCCTATGCTATCTCTCCCCACTCACCACCCCCCACTGTCCCTTCCCTTTTTCCCCCCAACAGATTTTTTTTTAAACACAGCAAGGAAATAATGTTTCATATATAAAATAACTATACCATATACAGCATTTCTGTTTCCCAAATTTGCTTAGATTTTTTGGCTTTCTACTTAACAGAAATTGGATGATCTAATTTATTTTTAAAGTCTTTTCTTTATCTTAGCAGGGTAGTGATATTTAGAAAGATAAATAATAATTTGTTTAAAAAGGTAAAATTTTTTTTCTGATATATTACTCATAATTTTCATTCAAATATCAAATATTTCATTTTTTTCATAATTTTCATTCAAATATCAAATATCAAATATCAAATCTTCTCTTTGTTCATCTTTGTGGAATTCCAGAAATAACTATTTGCTACTCACTTCTTTTTCTCTAAATTGGTTTTTTATTTACTGATCAAAAGGTTTTTAACTAAAATTATCAAGGATTCCATGCACTTCCAAGATAGGGATAAGATCAATCTAAAGACTCAATTATTTCTGTCTTCACTGCTTACAGACAGGGAACACAGTCTCTTCAGCGTGGACCTGTGTAGAAGAATTTGGAGGAAATAAACAGGTAAGAGTTTATTTGGTAAAAGTCTCTTAGGAATATTAAGTAATATTTAATTTTCAGAAGATTGGTTATGAATTGTTCTTTATAATGAAACTTTGTGACGTATTTTGTTTATAATAGCCTTGTTAATTACAGACTCATTAAGCAAGTGTTTTAAAAAGTTAAACTGGTTTCTGCATTTTAGGTCTTCTCCAAACATTTAACATGCTGTATACCTTGAAACACCAAGATAGTAAACAGTATTATAAATTATATATGGAGTTAGTGTGTTATTTATAGATTATTCAAGTATTTCTCAAAAGTATCTGAAATAGAACTTTCTTAAACCAAAATCTTATTGAAACAGTTTGGAATAAAAGTTATATTTACTATGACTTAGTGTTTAGTTTATTCAACAAAGTACTTCTTGAGAAAGATAAGTTTTAGTAGGAAGTTAAAAGATAGCTTGTTATTTGAGTCAAGATTATTACTTTCCAAAGTCTTTTTTTACACGTAGAGGCAAAAGAATGTTATGCTTTCTCGGGTACAATTCATGTAATATATCTGTGTCCTTGAGCAAGTTACTTGACCTTTTTGTGCCTCAATTCCTCATTGACAAAGGGGATAATAATAATACTTATAAGTCTGTTATATGGATTCAGTTGTACTAATCTTGTATGGTTATTTTTATCATTCAATAAGTGATAAATATTGGCCATTACAATTAATATATTCTGTTCCTCAGATTCAAAGAGAAATGCTTTTATACTTGAGACTTAAGATTTTACTTTTATAGATCTTAATCTTATCATAAAAATTCAAATAAGTGATACTAGTCTTAGAACTCCTTATAGCTTTTTATAATTCAAAATTTGAATTACAAGGACTGATTTTACTTATAGAAATAAAACTTAAAAAGAATTGCTGGATTTTCTAAGGCTTTTCTCTTTTGCCTACATGGTTTATCTAGTAAGCTACAACTTTTTTTTAACCTATACTGAAGCCTACCTAGATTGCTGCAGCTCTGATCGTAATTTTTTCTCTCAAAGGCTGCTTCTGTTACTCAGTTTCCAAATGGCCTAGAAAGGAGCATTAAAAGGAGTTTGACATAAGCATCTTTTAATAGAAAGGTAGCAAAGTAGAAACTCTAGATATGGTATTTTTTTTTTGTCTTATAAAGGAAAGAAACTAGGCTTAATTTCAGTACAAATAAATATCTTTTATTCTGGACCCTCTTTATGTTCTTTTTGTTAGTGTGTTGCCTTGACTCTGAAGGCACTTGAGCTTGTAATTGCTGTGTTTAAATATTTGAAGATTTTATTCTGTTTTATTTTTAATGTTTTCCCATTAAGTTTTAACTCCATTAAGACTTCTTCCCTGATTTTCAAAATTCAGTGAAATAACTGCTTCTAAGGTCAAACAGGTTTGGGAAAATCTGTATACTAAATATTCCCTTTGGAAAATCATAGTGCATACCAGCATCCTAGGTAAATGAGGTAGCAATCTGTTTAACTTGTAAGCCTATCTGTTCTAAATTTTTCTGGAAATTATTTGGCTATAGGATGCTTATTTTGAGGAATTCTTGCACTTTAATTGTATGGGAAGTAGTTTCGGTAACACTGAAGCTAACCCAGAGACACACAGAGTTTTATTTCTTTTTATTATGTTTTCGACTTTATTTAGGTATAAATAAAATGCAACAAAATGCTCATATTTAAAGTGTGTAATTTGGTTCATTTTGAATTATGTATACTTCTGTGAAATGACACCACAATTAAGAAAACAAACATTTTCATCACCCCATGGAACTGTTGCCCCAAAAGTTGCCCCATGCAACTGTAATCCATTCTTCCTTTCACTCTCTTTCTCAGACAGCTACTCTAGATTAGTTTGCAATTTCTAGGATTTCAAATCCTTGCTTCTGAAGGTTTAAATTGTAATCTTTAGATAATTTACAATTTCATTTTAAAGAAATTTTATTTCTATAACTATTTCCTCTGCTTAGTTAGCTTTTAATTTTCTGTACTAGGATAGAAAGTACAAAATAAATGATAAATATTATTTATACTTACATGACATTTTAATCTCTGAACCCAGCCATATTTTATGTTCTGGGAATGTTTAGGAGTACAGCTAAAAGAAAAAAAGGATTGTTTTGCAGATAAAATTTAGTGTTTCAGTGAAACTAAGTTATTGAGATAGTTCTTTCAGTTATGGTTATTGAATGTTATAAATTGAAATATTAATAAAACTGCACAATAAGGATTTTTTAAAATTTCAATACAGATGCCACAGGAATCTAAAGAAATGCTTAAAATATGTGTTAAAGGTCTGATAAACGTATTTCATGGATGAAAAGATTAGGTGTTTCATTTTTAACACTGGTGGGAATGTAGAATGTTATAGACTTAGCTACCTTGGAAAACAGCTGAGCAATTTCTCAAAAAGTTAACCTGGGAATGACTGTATGACTCAGCAGTTTCATTCCTAGATACTTACTAAAGAGACTTGAAAACATATGTTCACACAAACACTTGTATTTGTTATTCCTTAGCGGTATTATTCATAATAGCCAAAAGGTTGAAACAACCCAAATACCTATCAACTGATGAATGGATAAACAATATGTAATGTAGCTATGATAATATATTATTCAGCCATTGAAAGGGATGAAGTTCTGATACATGCTACAACATGTTTGAGCCCTGAAAGCATTATGTTATGAAGTCAGTTCTAAAAGACCACGTAAATTTATACATAAAGTCTAGAAAAGGCAAGTCTATAGAAATAGAAAGGCTAGTAGTTGCTGGGGCTGGGAGAAGAGAGAATGGGAGTGACTGCTAATAGATACAGAGTTTCTTTTTAGATTGATGAAAATATTTTGGAGTTTTATAGTGGTGGTGTACATGTGATTAAAGTTGTACACTTAAAAAAATATATGTTAAAAAGTTGATGGAAGTGGTGTTAGAACTCATGTAGCTAACAGAAGAAGAAACCAATTATGAGGAATACATTTTTTTAATTAAAAATTAGTCTAAAGAATATAGTCAGAAACAAAAAAGGAGT